TTACCTCAGGTAACTCGCTCTGTGCTGTCTTGCTCTGATGGGGACCACAAAGGAAAGGATCCATTTTCATGGTATGTCTCAATGCTCAGCGGTCAGCTGTCAGGCCTAGTCAGAAAAACTGTTTTGTGGTTTGTGTCATGTCTCTGCCAAAAATCCAGATCAGATGAAGGATGACCTTTCAGATTCTGTTTCACTCTGCCTCTCTCATCGTGCATCCCCACGTCTTACCATTTTTTCCTTCTAGTGGCAGCTGGCTGGGCGGTGTTGTTACCACCATGTGTTTTTTCTTCAATCATGGCGAGGTGAGTGCACTATCCTTGCCCTCCTTGCATTCAGTGTCAATGAGCAAGGATATTTAAATGTTGAAGCTTCGTAGGCCAGTGTAAGCCGCTCTGGGTGTAAGCTCCTGAAATGTGTAAAACTCAAAATGAGAATGTACTCAGAAAAGCAGAGGCTGGTTAATATGCACTCATTCCAGCTCTCAAAGGAGCTTAGAGCTAGTTTTGGCTGGCATTCAAAGCCAAGTCCCTCCGCCCACCTCCTCCTCCAGTTTCCTCCAGATTAATTAGCAAGTCTTGATTGTTAAGGATCAAAACACTGACATTTCAGTCCCACATACAGTCACTGGTGCTCCTCAGTCCTTTGAAACATTATGCTCCCCCTGTCCCCTGAGTACAGAGGTGGTGTGTGATGGAGCATCTGTGAGATTCCCTTCTTTTGGAGGAAGCAGTGAGTTTGTTGTGTGGCTGATTGTTCTCAGGTAACAAACACATGAGATTGTATCATGAAGTGCGTTATGTGCAAATGGTGCAGTGTAATTTTATCAAGCAGTAGAAACAAGTTCCCCTTTTATAAATGGTCTGTGTGTCAGGTTTTCTAAGGCCTGAATATTAGTCATAATATCTTAACTTGACCTGTTTCTAAATGCTAAAATGGTCTTTATTAGATACAGTATTTGTTAGATAGACAGACGTATGGTCGCCCTGATAGATAATAGTGACAAACTGCTGGTTACTTATATCTGATAATATAAATTCCACTTTATGCATGCACTAGCTTACCTAAAGGTGAAAACTGTGCTGCCCTGCTATAGCTCTGCAGAAGATGGTGTAACACCAGTGATAAGTTCAGGCTGAGCACTTGTCCTTCTCAAGTTATCTTAGATTAATATGTTGGCTGGTAGATAAATATTTAAACAGAGGACTTGTTCCACCTCAGTTTACCCTCCCACAATATTTGGAACTCCACTGACTTCACAGCGTTTATAATAGCTGTGATGTGTCTATTTTTGTGTGTGTGTGTACCTGTTATTAGAGCACTCGTGTGATGTGGACTCCACCGCTGAGGGAGAGCTTTGCCTACCCATTCTTAGTCCTGCAGATGCTTCTTCTCACCTACGTTCTCCGGTAAACTCACCATCAGCGTCTGTCTCAAAATCCAGATCGCTCTGGCACAATAAGTGTCACAACATAAAATCACCACATTAATTATATAATGATAGAAGTCATTCTCTTTCTTTGTATGAAAATCTCATCTTGCCATGATTCTTACCTATGTCTAATGTATTGGTTATTTCACTGTGTACTAGTAGGTGCACATACAGTACTGCTCACACTCGCTGTAGCGTCCTTGCATATTTCTGAGCAGTCACACCTGTCACCACCTTTAATGGAACACTGAACAGTGCATTATTTTTTGTTATTCACTCCCAAAATTGTATTCTGGCACCAGAGATTTTTGTCAAAGAATTACAGACACAAAGAATTCAACTCCCTGTTGAACCATTAATATGTGAAATAACAACATGATCCATAATAAGCTGTTGCCTGGTGACTTTAAAGCGTTACAGGCTACAGACACTTCCTAACATTTTGCCCTTTATGTTGTAATTAACTGGGGTGAACCACGGCTAGCTTCTTTTGCCAGCTAAATAGTGCATTTAAGCAAGCTGTCCGCTGAACTAAAGTGCTCGTCACACAGACTAGTAATCTTCTGGATGCCACCTCGTGCTGTGTGGGTGCAGTCAGTAAACTGTGACTTGTACCACCAGTTTTACAGTAAATGGAGAATGAACCCTGTGTTGTATTTCCCAGTATATAACTGGGTCTTTGTAGTACTCTCGGAGTGAAATTGAATGTTTTTGTGTACTTCCTCAGGCATCTTAATTCATTTCCTCTTATCTCCTATACACCCACACTCTCTCACCACTCCATTTCCTTTTTTCCCCTCCTCTGTATCTCTTCGCTCCTCAGGACACCGACACCGAGCAGGACAGCCATGGTTGCTCTGGGCATCTCCAATTTGTGCTTTATGCTGCCCTGGCAGTTCGCCCAGTTTGTGCTGCTCACACAGGTAAACAGACACCAAGAGAAACGTGGGAGTAGAGGAGCAGGAGAGATTAGGCAGAAAACAGAGACTTGGGGAGAACAGAGGACGAAGAGAGTTCAGACACTGGCAACGAACTGAAGAGGCAGAAAAGAAAAGGGACAGACAGGCGAAATTATACACATTTACATTCTTATTAAGCAAAACCCCACATTATAAGAATGTTGGGATTGTGAGAAGGACAGATTCTTTCAGGTAGGCAAGTTAGAGAAAGAAATAGAAAGTTAGAGTGTAGGCTGGCAGACTGAAGAGGTGGAGTTTCAAACCTGGACTCAGAACAAACCAGTCACTGCTGCCAGCATCTGTGCACAGCAGCAGTGTAGCCCACACTGTCGGCAGCCCCCCAGGTCACTGCCGCTTCCTGTGCGCAGATTTTAACATGAGACAAAGTATTTAACAGCAGTTATTTCTTTGTTATGTATTTATATAAGCTATTAATTGAACCCATTGGCCTCATCCATTGTGCAGTAATCCGGTCTGGTGCCATATACTGCATCTCCACATGCACTCTTCACATCTCATTGTGGAAGAAATACCCTCCAGGTGTTTTTATCATTCTCTCAATAAGTGACATTACAACACTGTCCCATTTGCTGATATTATTCTCTGTAGTATTATGGAACATCTTCATTAACCCTTTATTATTGCACGGCTGTATCTGATACCTCTGTATTTATTCCTAATTATCTTTAAGCGTATGCTATGTCGGTGCAGTACCATGTTGTGGTCAGTAACTGCTGAACATGTACTGCCAATATGTATAAACACCCCCCCCGCCCCCCGTTCAGTTTCTTCAGCTTTCATTCTCATTTACATTCTCTTTAACAACTTAAACTTAATAAATATTTCTAACACGTGTATGATATTCTTGAAGTAAGTTAGGATATTTCTGTAATCAGGTTAGTTATTTTTAGACTTAAACCACCTTTGTGTTGGTGTCAGTGTTGATACCATTTCTTGTGGCTACTTAAAGGTCAGTTCATTATGTCGTTACAGCAGCGCATCATTGGGCAGCAACAAACATAATCTTTAGGGCCCTTAAAGAAATCACAGTAATATGGAATTTCAAAGGTGAAAGGATGTACTTCTTATTAAAAACTAGTTTCTACAGTATTTATCTGCAGTATGTGGTTAACCCAGTTTATTTATTCATTTATTTTTCCAGGTGGCTTCTTTGTTTGCTTCGTACATCCTGGGTTACCTCAGAGCCATCAAGATGCAGTCCATCCTGGTCACTCATATGGTACAGTAATGATGTTTTCCAGCCCTGCAGTGATCAGTCAGCTGATGAGTGTTTGTTTCTTCACTTTACTGTGTCCATCATCCACAGAATGATACAAAATGCAGGAAGGAAAGAAGGAGATTACCACTCTGCAACTGTGACAGAAAAACGGACTGAAGAGAAAGCAATTCATTGCCTTACACTATGTGTGTGGCTCATGTGTTGTGATGAACATTATTGAAAGTCCTTCCAGCCAGTGTCCTCTGAGCTGTAATGTGCTCTGCCTCAGTTGTCCTTATCTCACTCAGCTCCTCGACTGGAAGAATTTCACATGAGCCACGATACTAAAGCCAGCAGAGACAGGAAGGACTTGCTTTAGCATTAATAATGCTGCTGCACATGCACAAATGCCTGTTTGGTATGAGAGAGGGAAGATATGTAGGTCACTTGGTTCACCCTGCCAAGGACAGATGCATATCTCTTAATGTGAGAAAGATGTTTCTTTTTGGGCATGTGTGTGCGTTTGTGTGGACCATTGTTCCTCTTCCCCAGATTCTTTCCCCCCTGTCCCCTCTGCATGCCCAGCGGTAGCCAGCGCCTGTGTGCTCCACAGATAAAGAGAATGACCTTTGTGATAAGGTGTTGGAGATTTGTTTGAGAGGAAGGCACAAGGCTGTGCATAATTTAAAGAGCTGGACATTGGTGACTTTGGCTTTGAGTGTGGTTTGTGTTTTCAAGGAAAGAATACAGACACAACCAGGCATGTCCTCAGTGAGCTACAGCTTTGTTATTGAGCCTGACCTAACTAATATTTTCATTATCAGTTATCTGTAAGTTATTTTTTATAATTAATTGTTTAGTCTTCACTGATCCAAAAATATTCACTTGACAATGAGAAAGTTCTCCCATTAGAGACATTGGATTTCATTATCCATACTGTTTGGTGCTGTTTGATTTTGAGTGTGAAAAATACACCATCAGTTAGAAAGCTGGAATTGGATTAATTGATTTATCTACAATAAAACTAATCTGCAACAGCTTTGATATTCAGTTCACTTGCTATATCAGCTCAGTTGTGAGTACTTGCTGGTTTCTTGGTCTTCAATGATGGTGAACATTTTTGGCTTTTGGAGTGTCGGTCGGATAAAATAGGAGATTTAAAAAGTCACCTTGGGGTTGACATTAATCATTATATACAGCTTAAATAATTTATAAGAAATGGTTGACCATTTTCTGCCATGTGGCTCAGCAGTTAAGACATTTATTTTTTCAGCACCACAACAATCAGCATTTTCCGTCTCCCCACTATTTCCATAGTGCAGAGAGGTGCATTAGTTCCCTCTTCACTGTGGTATTAAACATCGAGAGTTCATTTAATAGGATTATATAATGCTAGTGGCAGTGTATTTAAAGTTTAATACATTGGTTTAAATCTCTGGAGTGTTTTCAACAACACTCGCGCACGAAGGCTTATTGTTGACACTTAATGCAATCTATCCCAGACCACCCTCCTGCTATAGAGAGACAGATATTCTTATGTGCAGGCAGCAGTGAAAATGGAGATGAGTGTTTTTATGAGCTCACTGAAGATTCTGGCTGTGCCTCCGAGTTCGCTGTCAAGCTCATGGTTAGCATTATTTCTGATTACATAGACAGATCATGCACACAAAGCCTCTGGAAGCAATGGCTGCTGTACAGGTGTGTGAGAACCTCAGCTCTGTGATGACTTGCACCTTCTCTTTTTCCTGCCACCTGCAGATAACGCTTAGTTTCTGCTTCATCCTAATGTTTGGTAACTCCATGCTCCTCACGTCCTTCTACGCCTCCTCGCTCGTCTCCATTTGGGTGAGTTGGACCTCAAACATGCTCTGTACTGCATGTTGAATGTTCTGAGATTGACTGGGCCTGATGAGATATTTGTACAAATGAATATACTGCACTATGATGGAAATATGTTTGCATTTTATTATTCTGGGTTTTGTCTAGATTATCTTGTTTTGGTGTTTTGAATTTTTGTTTTTGTGTTTTTTTTTCTTCCTCAGGCGATCATTGCACTGAGGGATCGATTTGCTCAAGTCTTCAAATCAGGCATCGTCCTCTGGGTGTGTAGGATTGATTTCTGCCGCTTTGTTTATATTTACTACACTTTACACTTTTTATATGTTCCATATGATGGTTCTTATAATTCTAGTATTCTTATAATATTTGTGTATTTTACCATGTAAACAAAAATAAGGAAAGCAGAGTGTCATTTCATATTAAATGTATAAACTCAGTTATGTGTCCTTAATTTTGGACTCCTCTGTCCATTAGTTTGCAAGTAACCGGCTCTCATTTAGGCAAGTTATAAAGTTTCAGCAACAAAGTTTATCTACTTTTCTCCTAACCCCAAAGTATCTGGAGGACTAGAACATCTATGTGTTTGTGTGTGCATACGTGTGTATGTGTAATCATGCCAGTGTGTGTCTCTTCATCTTCCTCAGGTCATGCAGGGTTTGGCTTGGGTCGGCTCCACAATTCTGCTCAAATTCATGCTGTCCACAGTCTTCGGTGCCTCTGATGATGTAAGCTACTGTAAAAGAGTTTTTACACTAAATCCGGTTTTATCATTGGATTAGTTAGTAAAGAACTGATCGTGCTCCCAGTTCATGTTAAGTTGCTTTTTTGTGCATCAAGAAAAGCTGAAGATATTCAGTCTGACTAAATAGGTAATGTTCTTTAAGATAAGGATATTATTTTTGACTTAACATTAAAACATACCTAGCCCCAAACCATGACACTTCCACCTCCATGCTTCACAGTTGGTATGAGGTTCTTTTCCTGGAATGCTGTGTTTGGTTTATGCCAAACATGTCCTCTGCTCTGGTGTCCAAATAATTCAATTTTGGACTCATCTGTCCAACGAACATTATTCCAGAAGTCCTGGTCTTTGTCAACATTCTCTCTGGCAAATGTCAGTCTGGCCTTGATGTTTCTCTTAGAGAGCAAAGGTTTCCTCCTTGCACGCCTCCCATGCAAGTTAAACTTGTGCAGTCTCTTTCTGATTGTAGAGGCATGCACTTCTACATCAACAGTAGCCAGAGCCTGCTGTAGGTCTCGAGATGACATTTTAGGGTTTTTGGAGACCTCTTTTAGCATCTTGCGGTCTGCTCTTGGGGTGAACTTGCTGGGGCGATCAGACCTGGGCATGTTGGCAGTTGTTTTGAAAGCCCTCCACTTGTAGACTATCTTCCGGACAGTGGAATGGCTGATTTCAAAATCTTTTGAGATCTTTTTAAATCCTTTACCAGACTCATAGGCTGCTACAATGTTTTTTCTGAAGGCCTCTGACAGCTCTTTTGCTCTCACCATGGTGCTCACTCTCACTTCAACAGTCAGGAGCACACCAAACTAAATGTTTGAGGTTTAGATGGGGCAAGCCTCATTCAAAATGCTGAGTAACGATCTACTAATTATGTGCACCTGGTGTGATATACCTGTGTGTGATTTGAGCCATTTTAAGAGGGCATACATGTGAGGGTGTGCTAACTTTTTCCTCAGTTGGAATAGGCATTTTTGTAGAATTACATTTACAGAAGATCTTGAAAAGACTTTTCTTCAGTTTTACTTGTTTAGTTGTATTACTTTAATCTCTCTGTATTGTTAAAATTGAGATTAAATAACCATATATTAAAACATGTTACAAAATACACATGCTTTCAAAGGGTGTCCTAATTTTTTCACATGACTGTATAAAGGTTTCCATACTGTTAGGAAAAAAGAGAGGAATATGCTAAATAGATTTTTTTTTATTTAATTTTTTACAATAATTAGATGTAAGGTATGGAAAATATTGTGGACCTGTTTGTGTAACTGTATAAAAACACACAAAGAAATGTTTTAATAAGTGATAGTCGGCCATCAAGTGAAACTCTGCTGCATCTCTGGAGCTAACTGTTGAACTAACTGTCCAAGTGTAATTCCTCCATGGGAAAAGGTCATACCGAACAATTTAACCAATTTTCAAATACATTTATAAGTAAAAGGAAATTGTCAAATGCAAAATGTACAGAAAATGAGTTCAGTTTTATTTTGTCTTTTTCAGGCTCACATCAGTGGACTGATCAAGTCCAAATTCACCAGCTACAAGGACTTCCACACTCTAATGTACACGTGTGCTGCTGAATTTGACTTAATGGAGCTGGAGGTAAGGTCTGCTTTCGCTGACGTTTATCTTCCTCGGCTCAAAGCTGCCACAAAATGGTGATAACTAAAGAGCGGAAAGACTCAGTCTGGGGTTGGTTCATTGTGAAACTCTGACCAAATGTTGGTATCAAATTGTCTATTAGTCTACTGCGAAGATTTTAGAAAAAGGATTCCCTGCTGTTTTGCAGCAAAGTGGTTGGTATTGTCTCACAGCAGTGCTCGGTGTAAAGGAAAGGCAGATCTGACACAAAACAGAAACCTGGCAGCTCATGTTGTGCTAAGTTCTTCTCTAGACAGCCTGGTTTTGTGTTTGTGTTCAGGTATTGCGAACATGCAGGAATGTGTGTTTTTGTTTGTTTTCTTTTTTAAAAATCAGATATCGGTTCTGTCTTTATCCTCTGTGTGTCTCTCTCTCCCTCACCACAGACTCCTGTTCGATACCTCAAAACACTGCTGCTGCCCATCAACGTGCTGGTGGTTGCGCTCATTGCTTGGAGGGTAAGGCTTTGCTTCTGTGTTTCAGGACCGCACTGCAGAAATGGACAAATGGGTTGGTTTGTTTCAGAAGCAGTAGAAAAATTCTGACAAAAAAGTGCAAGTTAATTACAAAGGTCTTCGAAAAGTGTCTTAAAGAAGCAGCTGCATTGCCATCATAGCCTTCATTAGGTGTTAAACAAACTGCATTAAATAGCATATTTTCACTGTGCTATTGTTATTATTAGGCATTCAGTAAAATGGGCAGGTTTGGTAAGAAGCTGTACTAATTATTGAATAAATAATGCAATAACTTTACTTAACAGTGACAACTAGTTTCCTTGATACTATAACGATACTTGACCCAAAAATAAATCATGTTGTTTTTCTGTCTTCACTACAAAAAGTACTGTGTTCGTCTGACACCTCTAGCACTTTTAGGAGAACTAACTGTTTAAAAAATTATATTTCTTTTACTCATAAAACATGCAGAGTAGTGTCTGCAGTCTGCATAACCCAGGGCTGAAAAGGTCGCAAATGACTCTGATGCTTGTAGAGTTTAGTTGCTGTGAGCACATAGTAATAATTGAAGCTGACACTGACGAGAATGTCCAGTCTTAGAAACTCTTCCTTTCTCTTATGTGGATTTAAGCAGCTCAACACTAATAAGATAAAAAAAAAGTCAACATACCTACAAAAACACCAAATAATGTTGTAGTCAATAGAATGCAATGAAAACTAAGGAGTAGGATAAAAGCACAAACATGATATAACTATAAAAATAGTTAATAATAATAAAGTCTTTTCCTTTCTCAAAATCTGGGGGAATTGAAGAGTCTCCTGTGTAGTTTGTAGTAACAGAAATTGTACAGATGTGACTGTCAAGGTGTCAGGCCTGCGGTATGAAGCCTTCCGCCTCACTGTTGAGAACAGCAGACTTGGTACATTTCATTGTGGTAGGAAGACAGAGTTGGTCATCTTATCCGATCTGGCTACCATGTGTACGTTGCTACCCCTGAGGAGAACTGTTCAAATATTGTAATAGGCTTTTCTTTTTAAATTCAAGTTATTCTCTTTCATTCCAGGACATTAACGTCATCTTATTTGCTCTGCCTGGGAAATATAGGTGACATTTATATGTGTGTATTTGCTCCAGATTACTGTAGCACAAAGTATTTTTAAGAGCGGCTCTTTGTTGTGTAATCTCATTATGCCTGGCCCACGCTGAGCTAAGTATACACAAGTCGATTTGATAAAGCATGGCATGCTGTACAGGAGCAAGTTGTTAGGAGGATCTTGTCCTAGAGTAGACTGTTTGTTGGAAAGATGAAGGAATATCATTTATTTGTCCTTGTCAGACTGTCCGGGACGTAGTTCGTTTCCTGAGGGACGACGGGAAGGCATCTGTCAAGAGTGACGATGTCGATGAAGCTGCAGGGTAAACGTCCTTAGGCATCTTCACTAATTTAACTGGATTTGCTGGTTCACTCCATAAAGAAATAAGAATTATTTGAATTTCTTAGCTTAAAAGAATTGTTTTGTCACAAGAAGACAGCTAAGTTTATATTTCTGTCTGTTCTGTGTTGCAGGACTGAAATAGCAGCCAGAGGAGAGGTGAGGAAAATACTTTTCACTTCCTCTCTATTACTAAGAAAATGCACCAGCCTTACCTTGGTAACACCTCAGTGTGAACCTTTCCAAGCCTGTTTCATTTGATTAGATTTCTCCAGTGCTTTTAAATCTCCTCAGTTACTTTGTCCCTAAGTGATTTTTATCCTTTTTCTCATTACTAAGAAATGAAAGGCACTCTCACTGTGGTGCCTTTTGTCAGCTTTCTCCCAGCTGCTGCTTCATGCCATTTTCTCTAATCTCCCTCCCAGGACGGTAAAATGCTCAGACGTTCATCCACCAGCCACAGTGTGTGCAGGCTTCCAGAGTTTCCCAGATAATTGCTTTAAAGAGTGTGTGTGGCTCAGTCAATAACATAGCAGAGACCCCAGGGTGTTCTCAGTCCGTGTTAAAAATACATGAGATCAAAGCATCATGCAAATCCCATTTTATACAGTGTATCCAGTGAATGTGGCTTCTCTTCAGAGTTCAGAATTAAAGAGGAACTCCCCTGAAAAACATCACGTTTATTGACAGTAGGGCTGCGTTATTAATTAGGGCTGTCACTGTTTAAAATGTCTCAGACAACGATTTAGGACACAATCTATACTCCTGACCTGTGTTGCACAGTTATTCTGTTCATTTTTAGCACCTCAAATGCAGCTTCAGCTGAGACACAAGCTAATGTTGCTATGAAGCAGGTTTACATCAGCAAGCAGCTAAATCCATGGTTTTTCTACCTGTGATGTTGAAGCCAAATGCTTTGTCTCATTACATCTCAGTTCATTTGTTGTCCTGGTATCTGTTCTACATGGCTGGTTAGTTTTCTCTGTTTTGTGTTAGCAAAGAGATCAACAATCTGCTAGTAAAGCCAGTTGTGGTTTTGGATCAGCAGCCCGGGTCTGAGTCTTGTGTCTTACTGTCTTGACTGTTGAAGAGTTTGTTCACAGTTCTTGGCAGATAGTTGTCAGTTTTGATTGACTGTGTGTGAATTTGTCACTCTGCAGTTGGTGTATCACAGTCTGCAGCTGGTGGCGTTTGCTGTCCTGGCCGTCCTCATCATGCGTCTGAAGCTCTTCCTGACGCCCCACATGTGCATCATGGCTTCACTGATCTGCTCCAAACAGGTCTGTCTCTCACTGGGGGGGTTCAAAGGATAATAATTTGATTCCTTAATAGAATTAGTGCGTTTCCTGGAAAGTTTCCTGTCCACATTACCAAGGAGATCATCTGTTTGGTCAATTAAAGCATAAGGTCAGTATTTTCAACACTCCCCATATAGAAACTGAAACCAACAATGAAATGCTTCTACTCACGGTTAATGTCCATCTTTGTTTCAGTCTTGGATCAGCTTTTTTGTCTGTGCCATAGACCTCTGTTGTTTAAATATGATTAAAACACTTCAGTGAAACACACCACTGCACTGGGTGACATATTTCTTCATTAGCAAACCCCAGACCTAAGCATTACACACTAGCAGAATATAAACACACCTGAGAGCTCACGCATGCACAGTTGACTGTGACTCATGCTAACTTCAGTAAATTACAGCCACTCAGAGCCTTTATGGCAACATAGATGGGTCTGGGGTTTCATAATGAAGAAACATGTCACCCAGTGCAGCCGTGTGTTTTCCCTGTTGTGTTTTTAATCGTTTCTGAACAAGCTCAGGGATCTATCTCGCAAACGAATGAGCTAATCCAGGGCTGACAGCTGACGGACATTAACTGTGAGTAGAGGCGAGTTATTGCATGGAGATTGCTGAAAATACTATTAATATAGAAAATGGCCAGCTTTATCCTTTAACACTGCTCTCACTCTCCATCCTCTGGTTTATTTGGCAGTTGTTTGGCTGGATCGGGCAGACGTTTAAGCAGCAGATTGTGGTATTTGCGGTCATGACAGCCATGGCCATACAGGGAGTGGCCAACCTGCAGGCCCAGTGGGCGATCATCGGAGAGTTCAGCAACCTGCCGCAGGAGGAGCTGCTGGACTGGATTCAGGACAACACCCACCCAGGTGAGTGAAGTCGCCTGCTTCCACTATGGTGGAAATAGTCGTCCTGATTATTACGCTCAAGATAATGAGTTGAATAATGACAAAATCTTGATTTGAGGAATAAAATTACTGCTGGTTTTCTTTTTTGTGCCTCTGTGCTGGCAATAGTCAGAGGCATTATGTTTTCAGGTTGTCTGTCTTTCAGTCAGGCCTGTTCTTGTGAATGAAATCTCAGGAATGTTTTGAGAGAATTAGTTCACATTTGGAGCAAATGTCCATTTAGACTCAAGGATGAAGTGATGAGATTTTGGTGGTCAGAGGTCAAGGTCATAGTGACCTCATATCTGTCCCATGATTTTGAGTGGTTGGTGGAGGCATGCAACCACAAATTCTATTTTATTTTTATGGACTGATTTATAATGAGGTTTCAAAGCAGACACCCAGGCAAAGCAGTGTTCTTTATATGGACCTGCTTTTCTTTGTTTATGAGCAAAAAGACATCACTCTATAACATCACTGTATGGGAGCAATAGGTCAGTGTGTTTTTGTAGTTCTCAGACTTACACACTTCAGATCAATATCTAAAACACTGGAAGATACTAGAGGCTGAACAAAATTATTATTCTGTTTCATACACATGAGCAGATTACTTTCAATTAAAGGCCAAGGAGGCAGAGGTTACCTTTTTGTACTACCCCCCCTCCATGAAAGAAACACAGGTGTCTGACTTTCTTCCTGTTTTTCTGTGATGCAGATTCAGTGTTTGCCGGGGCCATGCCCACCATGGCCAGTGTGAAGCTTTCTACAGGTCGGCCCATTGTCAACCACCCCCACTATGAAGATGCAGGTCTGAGGTCAGTTGAGGTCAATTTGAAGATTGCAAAGGTTTTAGACAACATTATTTGTGTAGGAGTCTTGTGGATGGCATGAAGTAAGGCGGTGATTGGGAAATGTAGCAGGCGAGGGGTGGGTCACATACATATGCTGTGTTTCCAAGTGGTACACCCTGTACCACCCTTAATCATCACCTTGCACAACCTCACGGGTTGACGTGGACTGTCCTACTTTGTTTTTCCACTGTATTTTCTCTCTCTCTGTCTCTGTTTAGAGGAGGGAGGGGCTGCATGTCTCGCATGTGCAGTCAGCTGTGTGATTACACACTATGTCTGTAATTCTAATGCTTCAGGGGTGTGAAGATGCAGACATTTCACAACAAATCACTGGTGACTGCTCTGCACACATGCACTCCCTTTCCTCTTGCTTCCCTGGTACTTGATTGTAGTACTTCCTCCTGAAGGGTGCTGAAATTTAGCTCCCAGGATGCACCTCCAGAGTAGGCCGAATGTAGTGGAAACAAATGCAGAACCTGTGACGAGCATTACTCTGTGTGGCGTGTTTCCTTGGGTTCCTATAATGGAAAAACCCCTATAGACACACACTAGATACAGAGGAGCGGAGGCAAAGTCACTTGGAAAGATCAGTTTTTGACAGTCGTATAGAACTGCATGTAAAGTTTGGGTCAAAACTGCCTCTACATGTAAATCTTGTCTAAAAATACAATGCACAGCAGAACGTGTCACATTAAAGACCTCTGAATGTATTGTCACATCCAACAAATAAATCACAGGAGAAATCCTTTGACTAACTTGATTACACAAGCTCATTACAGTGCTTCACATCATTTTTTTTAAATTGTTTATGCATAAAGCATTTAAAATGCAGTCTAAGCTGAGTAACGTGGAACAGACAGATTTTTCAGGGCTGGCAAGAGTTGATCTCATCCAAATATCTGCAGGTTTATAGTTCTACAGATTACATGTGCTCGTTTGCTTCAGTTTATTAAACCCTGTTGCCTATGATTGTGTATGATTCAGTTCTCATTCCTTTAACTGCTGTCTGTGAGTGGTTTCTGTAACCTATTATTTTTGCAATCATTTACTTTCTATTATTTGACTACTTTATAAAATGTGCGTGAAATTGTCCTCCACCAACCTGTGTTCTCCCAGGGAGAGAACCAAGCTGGTGTACTCCATGTACAGCCGCATGTCTGGAGAAACCGTGAAGAGGAACCTAATGAAGCTGGGAGTGGATTTCTTCATCCTGGAGGATTCCTGGTGCACCAGACGAACCAGGTACCACAAACACCACCGGTGCACTCTGACAGGAGGCGACACACTGCTACCACATTTTCTTCCACATAGTGATTTGGGCTGATTAGCTTATGGTGTTATTCACGGAGAATTGCAAAGATTAGAATGTTTTAATTTATCTCAGATCCTGGACATATGATTCCTTTGTCTGATAAACATTGTTTTTCTTTCTTTTTAATTCATTTTTTTTCTTCCATCTCTCGTTGCCCAGGCCTGGGTGCAGCATGCCAGAGATCTGGGACATTGAGGACCCCCAAAATGCTGGTAAAATTCCCCTCTGTACCCACATGTCCAAGACCGCACGACCCCACTTTACTACATTGTTTTCCAATGACATTTACAAAGTTCTCAAAGTCCCCAAAGTCACCAAAGCTCACAGATAGCATCATGGGATGGAGTGGTCCTCCACCAAACTTCTTTTTTCCTCCACTTCTATTGTATATTTTGCCTTTGCTGCTTTTTACTCCCTTTTCTTGCGGTGCTCTGATTCACTCAGCAGTGGACTAATAATAGTTTGGTGCACCAAAACAATCTGCCATGAGTCTTTTCACTCTTGGTGCCCTCACTATTTGTGACTTAAAGAAATATCCAGTTCCACATATTTCACCAACAAACCTTTCTGCAGCGTCCTTGTCATCCAGCAACATTCTCATTGCGCTGCTGTCAGCGCACAAGTGAAAGTGAAAAGGTGTCGTAGCTCTGCTCTTTCAGTTTTTGCCTTTGTTTTGTTACATTGGGTCCTTACTTTAGGAGATTCCATTCATACAACAGTATTGCTTTTTATAATATTAAATCAATTTTTTACTTAAGCTTAAGAAGTCTGGAAGGCCCAGTCGATGATGTCCACATACTGTGAAGCAATATCCTTTGCAAACTTGGCTAAAGCTGACTTCTTCTGTTGTTATGCACAGTGTTCGGCTTAAAAAAATCCATAGTACACTATTTTTTTATAATTTATTTGTGTGACTGTTTTTATGCAAATTTTAAGATGTATAACCTGAACAGTGTTTTAAGAGTCGTGGGTGTCACAAGGGAAATTCTGTTGTTCTTTGGATGTTTTTGAAAAACATATCATTCAGCATCGGTGTCTAGAGTGAATTCACTCAAGAATATTTTTAACTAAATTTCACAGTTTAAATTCAGCTGTAAACTGGCAGAAAAAGGTTTTTATGGCAAAACACGATAAATGAATCAAAGAGATTTCCCCCTGACTAAAACACCAGTGTACAGCCTTTAAAAGTTTTCATGTTTCTTCAGTTACTGTTTGTTGCCAAAGTCTTCTTACTGGAGCTGTGTATCTGGGGTACTGGAGCGCATGTAAGATGTTTGTAGCGACTGAAAACCATCTGTGAGTTCTGTAATGGCCAATCCATTTGTAGCAGTGAATTTTATATCAAAAGTAGCAGTTATTGTTTTTTTGGTTCAGGCCACATTAATGACTTGATGTTTTGAGAAATATGTTTATTGATCTCTTTTTCCTTTATGTGTGATGCTGTGACAAGGTGACAGTTAACTTAGCTTAGCACGAAGACTGGTTCTGTTCAATGGTAAAAAAAAACATGAAGCTCACTAATTAACACTTTCATAGCCTCTGACAACCTCACAGTGACGACAAGACTCCAACCTGCACATAATCAGTCAATAAAACTGCTACTTGGCATTTTTTGCACTGCAGTTGTACTTAATTAGCCATCTTTAGCTGTGGTGGAAGAAGTACTCAGATTATTTACAGAAGAACAAATATCACTACCACAATGTAAAAATACGCTGTTACAAGTAAAAGTACTGTATTCAAAATGTTACCTAAGTAACAGTACAAAAGCATTAGCACCAAAACACACTTAAAGTACCAAATACAAGTAGTCATTGTGCATAACTGCACAGTTCACCTTATTGTATATCATATTATTGGATTATAATTATTGGTGGTCATCACTTTATTGTTGCAGAAGCTAATGGTGGAGCTAATGTCACTTGGCTTACAGCATATGGCTAACATCTGAAATGCTGTTGGGTAGTTTGTGAATTTCTCACCGAGGATCAATAAAGTCTTTAGAAGTTGATTGAAAGTAGCAGTGCAGTAAAAGGTGCAATATTTGCCTCTGAAATGTAGTGATGTTGAATTATGAAGTAGCAAAAAATGAAAATACTCAGGTACAGATGCCTCAAAATTGTACCTGAGTAAAGGTACTTGGTTACCTTCGACCTTCAAACAGTTCCAGGCCATCTCTGTACAGATTAACTATGGTTTGTTACACCACTAGAAATAGTACTCATTCATTTTTGTGCCAACTGTTACATGGGAAGATTAATGCCACTCTCCTGTCTGGATATGGACCTACATCCAGCAGGTGGTAGACTGGACACAGTCACACTAAGCTCCATCAAGATAATTCAAAGACGCACCAAACAAGACCTGTGCAAGTTAAAAAACAAGCCCTGGTTTTATGGTGCATTACGTGTGGGGCTGTTTCTTGGCTGAGCTCAGCCACAGAAGCTCTTTGTGAAATGTCTGTGTCAAAGTGTCATCTCCCTAATCTTATTTTGATGCTCAATCACTGTGACTACTCGTTACTGTTCCTGGCCAATAAACAGTCGCACACATAAACCACATTTTAAACAACTGAGAGATCCAGTAACATGTTGATTAGTGAACTTCACAGGTGCCAGGTTTGTGGCTTCCCCTTGATTCCAGTCTTTTTGCTAAGCTAGGCTACCTGTTGTTAACTCACAGATAAAATCTCCTCATGTAACTCTTGGCAAGAAAGCGAATAATAGTATTTCCCAAAATGTCCATCTATTCGTTTAAGAGAGGCGCCACCATGTTGGAAACAAACATTATTGCCTCTTCCTCTCTGCTCCCTCTTGCTCCTGTGGGAGCATGAATTTAAATCACTGCCACAAAGACGTGGCAGGCGATGTTCAACATGGGAGCACGTCTTTCACAGTTATTGGTAATTACCTGCCAAAAGTTCCATGATGGGTGGCATTTCTTTTAAGAAAGCTGTTTCTCTTGGCTTTAATGTATTTATAATGTAAAGGTCTTGTAACAGGTTGAAAATATTGGTTTAGACAAACCTTGGGATAGATGATTTGACTGACTGAGCATCAATATGAGATTAGTGAGATGACGCTTGACACATTGGCATTTCAGAAAATGTCTGATGAGATTAAATGTGTGGGAGTGAGCGGTTGAGCAAATCATGCATGGATTTAATCTGCTGCATCTTGTGCATTGGATTTCAGAGCTGTTAGGAGCTAAAGTTATGAAGACTGAGGTTTGACTGTGTAGGTGTGATCTTGTGAGTCAAGTGCCTGTTTTTAAGGATTGTGGCTGTTGTCACACTTCCCCAAAACAAGCTCACATAAATAGTGTATTGCTGTTGCAGCCCTAGTTGTGATGTGGAGTTGTCTTTTATAATGTTTGTCTGCATTGTAAGAAAAAAAAAAGGCATCAGCACTATTGCTTTTTTTTATTATTATTAAATGTATGTTTGAAAAAATAGAAATCAGTTTTTTCTTCTTTAGTCTTTAGAGGAATGTTTTGCTTCCAGAAAAAAAGAAAATGAAATTAATTGTATTATCAAATGTATTTTGTATTAGTTTTCTACTGTGACAGGAAATTAAGCAGGTTATCTGCAGGCCTTGAAATGTTTTAAAAAGCATTTCTAAAAATGCCTTAGAAGGTATTGTATTTTTTAAAAAGTCTTAAATATAATTTACAGAAGGCCTACACATTTACATTTCTTCTCTTTATCCAGAGATGGAACAAGTACTCAGATGTTTTACTTAAGTAAATGTACAACAAGTGTAAAAATACTGTTACAATTAAAGGTCCTGTATTCAAAATGTTAAAAGTAACGGGACAAAAATAGCACCAAAACATACTTAAAGTACGAAAAGTAAAAGTATGCAAAATGCCACATTTAACAGTAATAATCCATCAGTCATTATTGGATTATAATGACTGATTGATAATTATTTTCATCACATTAATTGTTGCAGCCAGTTAAAGGTGGAGCTAATTTTAATTACCTTAAATCGTTATCTGAATTACTGGGTAGCTTGTCAATGTGATATATTGTGATGTTTTAAAAATAAAAACTATTAAACAATATTGTCAGATGTACAGTATATTTTAAATTTACTGTCATAACCTGTCATAACTCAGTTTAAACTTTAAATTTAAAAGCTTTTATTCCAGACCAGAAATGATAAAATAAAAAAAAAAGACTGCTTAAATGATTTATTGCTTTTCATCTTTAAAGACAGACATGGTGTCAAATGTAATGTGCACAAGCCAGAACATCTCATTTCTTGAGCTGGATCAACACAGAGGAGAGAGACAGATTTTATGAGGTGCTCCCTACATTGCACTACTGAATATTTACCTTGACCGTTTTTATTTGTCTTGATTATAATTATCCTCTGAGTATTATGCCCTAAAATGCCACAGCTAAACAAAGAAGGAACTTTATACTAAAAGTCCTATAATGCAAGCAGATAATGAATACGCTTGTTGCACTTTGTTGTTTTTATTCTGACAGTATTGAAGCTTCAGCTGTGATCCTGGTTAGATCTAATCCAGCCTAGAGCCATACACCTCGATCTCACACAGTCAGGTGCTCCTCTCTTCCAGGGATGACTATGTTAACATAGCGACCATTCATCCCATTACAGTCCTACTCAGCAACAGCACCTGCCAAGATACTGGTGATCATGGCACACCTGGCAGAAGAAGCAGAAACCACTTGGTTAACTCCAGAAAAAGTTCACCTGAATAAGGAAACAACTTATTTTCAACACACCCATGCGTCTACTGAGGCACGACGCATACTAGTGTTCCTTTCAACACGGTATATTCTGAATGTAAAATATGGGTTTTGTAAGCCTAGGTTTGGCTGACCTCTTCAGTTTAGATGTTTTAATAATAATAACTTAAACATTTTCTAAATTGGCATGATGAGACGTGAATAAGCATATTTTAAAAAGTACTGGTAAAACCAGCTAAAATTAAATAGAAATGACCAGGGGATATAAATAATTCAAGTCAGCCAAGATAAAGATGTGTTCAGCTGATGTATAAAAAAAAAAAAAAATCAAGTAGGAATTGAGATAGATAATAGTAATTCATTCCACAGTTTAGTTGACATGACGGTAAATGCTTGCTCACTCTTGGTTGCAAATCAAGGAGCTGCAAAATAAGCTTTTTCAGCCAACGTATGTTAAAAAAAAAAAAAAGGTTGAGTGCATGGTGTAGCATGATTAGAAATGTTGACGTGTTGGTACACTGCATAGCTGTATAAAGATAAAATAGTTATAGTTATTAGGGACTTTAATAGTCTGTAAACTACCTGGGATTGTTGCTGCCATTGTTGAACAAAGTCTCCAATCCGGATCTCAGCTCGATTGAGTCATTATGCAAAAGCATCTCTGTTGGTGCCCTTAACAGAAAAACACTTTATGGGTTTTACCCAGGTCCAGTCACCACCAGGGGCTGCAGGTGCTCTTTGTGTGACTGCAGGAGAAAATGTGTAGTTGTTATGTAGGATGCAGGATTAATCACCATTTATTTTTCAGTTCTTCCAAAATTTACTTTAATGCAAGTATAGTTTGTAAGCATGTTCACCTATAACATAAAATGCTATAATAAAAAACACTGATTTTGTTTTTGGCTTATACCCCAGATAAAGTGAATTACTGCATACTGTTCACGTAATATAATGGATGTAATAGTTCATATTTTCACCAGTTGGGGCACGGTACCCATAGATTTCTACTTCACAGAGATTAAGGGTCTTTACGAAACCTGGTAAAACCAAAGTCACATAACGTCCCTTCACATGTTGAGTGAAAGTTTCAGTGAATGATTGTCCTGAATGGATTTTTTCAATTGTGCCGACCCTAACAGAGAGAGAGAGAGACAAAGAAAGCAGAACATGAATCAGGATAAATGACGTAACAGTTTCCAGAAGTGAAGCCAACGTCAGTCGATGGTCCCCTGGTGACTGGTGGCAATATAGGTCATAGATCCTATGTGTAATGAGCCAAAATAAAAATTCTAAGTACAAGTCAAATAAATCTTTTCCAAAAGTGATTTCTGCCATTTTAGTTAGATATCATCATGCTGATTTGTGTACAAGCAGCCCATCCTCATTCCCAGGATGTCAAATACTGACGAAATGTCAAATACCTTAACAGGGTTCTCAGTAGACTCTTGCCTTAGTATTGACACTCAGAGCAAGAGGTCGGAGTATATAAAGGGAGAAAGTCCAGGCTAGGAGGTGCATGGTGGTTCAAACAAATATCAAACATTCCCATCGGAGGGCGTGTTCAGGTTTGTAATGAAGTGTTTTTTTAATCAGCAAGTGTTTTAACCCAAGCCACAATATTTTCCTTCACTTAACCACATAGTTTTTGTGCCTAAACATAACCATGTAGTTTTTATGTGCTGAGGGAAGTGGGCCAATGCAATTCTGTATTGAAAACCCAGAGTGTCTTATATGAATACCAAGGGCACCCTTTCAGCATCAGTATGAGATGTAAAAGCTACTGGACAAAACATCAGTATGTCCTGGGAATTAGACTGCACTGGTACAAGTGAGGGGGACCTGGCTGCAGACAAGATGGCTGATTATGACCAAGATATGCACTGTCAACCTAGGCCAGAAGTTGGTGACTTTTCCCTGAAGTTATGCTTCAGTTAGGGTTAACACCCGCAATCATAAATGTAACTGTACACCCGCTGAGGTGATCAACTTCTGGCTAATATCACCACCTTCCTCCTGATGTCAGAAATTCATCATATTGTCTGCAACCAGGTACTCGTGGTCATTTTTCTGATGAATTAGTTTTTTAATAAGTTATTTGATGACATAAAAAGGTGTGTATTTTTGATGTTGAACAGCTTGGATTGGCAGCCAGAATCTGGTTGAAAAATGTGTCACAAAAGCAAGATGGCTGCCCCGTAGTTGTGATATTTTGACTTCACTTTTACACAGTGGCAGGAAGTGGTGATGCATTGTCCATTTTTATTTACAGTCTATGGTCCCACATTACAGTATATAATAGAAGAGTTTTCACTAGCCTTAGCCATCTTTCTTTAATGTCCTGGTGTGGTGATGGCAACTAATTGTCAAGTAACACTTTACCCTGTGATTCAGTGTGAAAAGTTGTTTTGTTGTTGTTTGTAGGTAGCCATGGAATGATGTGTAGTTTGGAATTTAAGTGATATTACAAACTGTTTTAAATAACCACCCACACATACAGCACTGTCACACCCTGTAGAGCAATAATATAGGGATTTCAATCCAGAAAGAAAATATTACAGTATATTCTGATTTCTCATTAAAAATGGATTTTGAGTTTGACCTTAAAATATATTGGACAGTGAGGCAGCAGCACCTCTTCCTTATGAAGACAAAGAGAATCTCTGGTGATGAATATTAAAAAAGGCAGAGGAGAAAATAAGCAAACTGCTCAGACAAACTTTCACACTAAAAAGGTAAAATGAAAGTTTAAAACCAGATTTTTTTATTTTGCACATTCACTCACACTGGGTTTGCTAAACCGTTGTCTCTCAAAGAGTTGCCTATGTGGATTTGCAGCCCGTCAATCCTTTCTTCACAGCAGTCTCCTCTGTTGGTGATGGTGATGATGATGTAGGAGTCCAGCAGGTCCACTCTCCTCCAGGGGTTGGTTTCTTCATTAGCGCGGGTGCATGATCTGCCATGAAAGTCAGAGTTATGGGTTCCATCAATTGCGTTATAGGCAGTTCTGAGGGGTCATGGTACTGAGTCGACTGGGTTGCTTTTCCACGCAAGGCCATATTTTCTATGAATGAGAATTGAAATACACATTAAAATACAGATGACTTTTACCTTGTATTTTGATAAGGTTCATTTCAACTATTGCACAGATCAGGACTGTAGAACCTTTGATCATGTTTTATAGTTAAATTTGATATTGTTTGATCTATTTATTGACAATGACAGTTGCCGGGAATTTCTTTGAGTGTGGTCATTAAAACAAACAAAAAAAATACAGCCATAAAAACAGGGCAGACAACTGAAAAAATAACATAAATAATGGAATAGCAGACCACTGAGAATATGTGATGTGTATTAAATGAGCTATAAAGCAAACATGACTGCAAACATCAGTAGCAAACACCTAGAGGCTGAAAGAATACATCTGGGGAAATTCTTTATTTTTTATATTGTCAACAAATACTATGAAGAGACCAAAACCAATCTGGGTATCTTAAGCTTGATAGTGGATATCTGATTCCTCGGTGCCACAGAGCACCACTGGTGTCCTAAAGATATTGAAACACATCAGTGAGCCATGCTGTTGCACTGGGTGGCATGTTCCCTCACTACCATTAACACACTCACAAGTTCATTTTGACCCAGACCCACATGCAGGACCTCTGCTGTAACGCTGCATAGTCCCAGGTTTGCTGTGTGCTGTCATTTAA